TTAACTGTTTACATCTAAGCTCTTTTGCTGTATAACAGTCATATAAAAACAAAAGTTAAAGATTATGTATTTCATAATAGGAGAAGGGAGTACATTTTATTATTGTCAATTTAGTTTACTTTATCTTCTTTTCCCTACTAGTGTCACTATGACAACACCATCTTATAGGTGTATTGAGTACTGAACATGTTTTTTTTAGATCAGTCACCTTCATGAATTTTATCAAATGGGTCAGTAGGAAAACGCATTTCATTACAGGTTAGTTTTTTTAACGTTTCTGTGTAGTGTTTACAATAAAAGTGGATGGTATAAGTGAACCAGATATACTCAGCAAGAGCTAACCTACATTATATTATCTTCAAGAAAACATTCAACGTAATCATTCATATAATTAGGTTATTATTTTGTGTATACTTTTATGTCAACCAATATTTGAAGTACTCTTCACCTAGTTAATATGCAACGAAACATCATCAATTAAAAATTGTTTAACAATTATGTTACTGCTAAATATTTTTATAGCAACTGCCAGCTGATGCATTTAGAACTGTTTCAGGGACTTCACGTTGTTTTGCTTGATAATATCAGAAAACTATGTTCATTATTATTACTATTAGTAGTAGTACTACCTTTATTGTTCCTATTATTATTATTATTAGCAGTAGTAGTAATATAACGTGGAACGCATCAATTCAACCGATACTCATATTTAAAATTCGATAGTTTGACCTTAACCTAATCTGCTTTTTATCACAGTGTAATATCAATTAACAGACTGCTGAAAATTAGAAATCTCTGAATAGATGTTTCAACATAATTGTGTAAAGTCTAATTACTGTACTTAAAATCAAATTCATGATGTTCAATCAAATAAACTAATAAATAAGCTCACAGTGGTGTTCATTACAAGCTGATATCACTTGAAGAACGATTAAAAATTTGGGAGCATTAATCATCTGTTTTGTCATTGAATGGTCCTCCAACTGAAAGCATTCTGTGGTGAATACCACCATGAAATCGATAAATCCTCACAAAACTCCCAGACTTCATGTCAAATATACCTTTGCAATACTATACGTAGCTACGGTTTTATGCTTTTTTGGGACTTTTAGTTCTTGATTTAGTGTCATTCAACATAAAAAGTAGCATTCCGTGATGACTTTGGTCTTTTAGAGGCAGCAACTTCTTCTAGAATGTCTCGGTGTAACTGCTTCATAAATTATTGATTAATTAGAACCGAGAAAAAGCTAGAGGTAGGTAATAACTCACCTCATAATTTAACCCTTTATGGTTACAAATTAATGTCAACATTACTTACTACTTATTTATCACTAAATATGTGAATATAATTGCCATAAAGAATTCAATAACGGTTTCGTACTAGTTAATATTTTCAATCCCAACAATAACTTGTCACATTTTAAAATCCAGAAAATTATCTCACATTAGTGGTGCACAAAATATTATTTCCTATCAGCTTAATTCCTCCTGTCCACCCCAAGCAAAATATTATGCCACATCATACTGCTGAGACTAAAGGATGCTCTGGATTCAAAACTACGACCGGAATAAGCTGGCTGACTTCAGGAAGAACAAGTCATTTGCGCATCAAATTGCAACGCTACGCTACGCATCATCATAGAACAGAGTGTACAATGCCAGTCAACTCTCTCTCTCTCTCCACCTCAACTTCATCGACTTTGTGAAGGCTTTTGACAGCGTCGACCGACAAGTAATTTTGCAATTGCTTCAATACTACGAAATACCACAAACCTTTATCAACCCCATTCAACAACTATATGAAGACACCACATACCAGCCAAGTAATTCAAAATGGGAAGCTCAGTGATGCCTTCGAAGTGAAGACAGGAGTGAAACAAGGTTGCCTACAGTCATGCATGATTTTCTTGATGGTGGTGGACTGGATCATCCAGCAAACAGTGGGGAACGAGAAGAGGGCATACGCTGGACCGATGAAAAGAACCTAGAAGATCTGGATTTTGCCGATGACTTGTGCCTGATGTCACACAAACTTGAAGATCTACAGGCGAAAACTAACGAGTTGGCAGAGGAGGCAGAGAAGACGGGACTTCAAGTGAATATAGCGAAGACGGAAGTGATGAAGATACCGAACCAACAACAGCATCAACAACAACAAGCACCAATCACCATGAATGGGAGAAATCTTAAGCAAGTAGTCTCTTTCACCTACCTATGCAGGCCAGTATCGTTTCAGCTACAGGCGGCACAGATGACGACGTCAAAGCCAGAATCGGAAAATCGAGACAGACCTTCTTTAGCCTGAAACTAGTGTGAAGATCATCCGCTGTCAGCATAAAGAACAAGATCCAGATTTTCAACACCAACGTCAGTCAAGTCAGTGCTTCCATGTGATGGTTGAGAGGCTTGGCGCGTTACGAAAGGCATTTTCAACAAACTACAGACATTCATCAACAACTGTCTAAGCTCGTTACTGAAGATCAGATGACCAGAAAGAATAAACAACAAGGAACTCTGGCCAAGTAACGAACCAACCAAGAACCTATCGCTCAAAAAATATGTAGAAGGAAGTGGAGATGGATTGGGCATGCACTGGGAAGGATGACTGGGGACATCACGCGTCAGGCCCCGGAGTGGAACTCCGAAGGGAAGTGATGAGTTGGGCGTCCGAGGGTGACATGGAGATCGTGCGAAGAAGAAATGAGAGCTTATGAGCTATCGTGGAGCCAGATTCAAAAGATTTCAGAGAACAGACCTCATTGGAGACGTGCTACTGAAGCCCTATGTCCCACTAGGAACCCAAGGGACAAATAATAATAACAATCAGCTGAATTCAGGAATATTCTTTCCCTAGAGTAACCATGAAATGTACTGAAATGCACTACCTAAATAAGTGCTAACTTTCGGCCCTATGAAAGAACAGAATCCTATAATTATATTAATCTATTTGATACATTGATTTTGTCGGAAAATACTGTATCACTGTGTGGTATAAAATATAAACTGTTATTATTTCTTGGTACTTGTAATACTCTATTGCTATACTGGATCAAATTGATCGAGATTTGTTAGCATATGGGCTCTTATACGGATGCCCCGATATTACCTGAGTATTTATAATTATAATTGACTTGGTTGTGACTGGTAATGGATAATACTTTAACACTGATTCCACTGTTAGGTGACACTGAATTTTATGCTATAATCTACAAATTATATTTCATATCAATAAGTTTTGATCAGCTCTTTTAAAAGCAATTATTTCAGGTCACGTAAGTAAGTATATTTCAAAACAAGTTCGAATGTATTCAAGTCTATGAATGATGACAAACAATCCAGTTATTCGTTACAACAAGTGCCCAGCAGTTTACTTCTGTATTATTTAATCATAAGTTGAATAACATATTATAACGTCTTGATAAGTATTTAATAAAATGCCAAAATTATTGTAAACTGACAAATCATCCTTTATCTTTAAATATTCTTCCTAACTGCATTGTTAACCTTATGCAAAATTCTACTATTTTTAACAGGCAAACTAGGGTTTTTGGTTTCACATTAGGACTTGTAAAGTGTATATAGACTTATTTCTCTGTTGACGTATTTCAAATACATTACTTTGAAAAATTTTCATGAAATAACTTTTACCTATGCAGTTTACTTCAATGAACATTTTCAGCATACAATAAATATGAGTTTTGTAAAACATTACTCTTTTGTCACCTATGTAGCAATTCATTTTTTCTCCATATAAATTAGCTTATCTCCACCTTTCGATAACTTCAGTTTATACTTTAATAAAAGTTGGTATCATTAAAACATGACAATGAACAGATTTTCATCTCACATAATCTCCTATGTAAGATGAAGAAATAAATAAGATCCGGAATGTTAATTCTGTTTTATCTTCTGATAAAATGATAAAATGATAAAAACTGACTTTCATATTGAAGGTAACTTAGTTCAACAGTAGCTAGTTTAAAAAGTTAATCTTCTTTGAAATGACAATAAGTATTTGTGAATTTTTAAATTCAAAAACCCCTCAGTTTTGTCTACTCATGAGTAGGTGATGATTGAAGGTGAAATGAAAATTTAGACTGGAACCGATTCGAACCGAAGACCACTTGGTTTCCCACCCGATCCTCTACCAACTAAGCTATGAGGTTCGGTTGCTGGCAAAAAATTTATTCCACTTCAGTCACCAAGGGTTTTACCCGACTACCATGTGGAGCCTCATATTGATTATCATTTCTGACTGTCTGAGATAGCTGTAGTTTGGCAGACTAGTATTTATACTGGGTGATGATTGTAGGTAAAATTAAAATTTGAACCGCAGCCGGTTTTCTTAATAATTCGGCCGCGGTCCAAATTTTCATTTCACCTTCAATCATCATCCAGTATGAATACTAGTCTACCGAACGACGGCTATCTCAGACAGTCAAAATAAAATATTTTGATGTATGTAAATTTACTTTTAAAAAATGATATTTAGACGTTGAAAGATGCATTTTACTGTCTGAAAAGTGTGGGACTACGATAAATGCTAAAACCTTCCTATGAATAATTCAAATAAGAATCGTAGTAATTCGTGACCAGTAATTGATTCCTATTTTTAATTCATTTGTGATTTGATGCTTTCAGTTTAGTTTATAAAAGACAATAAAGCTTATCCCAGTATCTTTCAAACCAAAGCGAAATATTTTGGAGTCGCAGAGACACATTTTTCTGTATGGAATGGTAAGTATGTTGAGCTTTGTAATTTTTCCATGAACTACCGATGTCTAATGATAATGCAGATGTTTTATAAACACCAAATTCAAAGTGAAAGGAAGCTAAGTCCTTTTCAACAAATACTATACACAGGCACAAGCATTACATCATTACTTCAGACTGGATTCAGTGGGAAGTCTACTAAACGACCGTGATAGTAATGGCTATAACTTGTCGTAGAGGATTAGGCATGGCATATAAACATTGAATAAGAGAAACACTTCACTCACTTCTCTGTTGTGATAAAGGTATACACATTCTAGTTGCACTAGTTGGAAATCTTGAACACTTCACAATGTCTGGCCATCCAAATCCGAACTGTAACATTTTCGGTAGACAACTACGTCTAACATCCTCGCATAAATTTTGACAAGGGTGTATTAAGTGTTCTTGATGACCTTCAACACAGACTGGAGCGTATAAAGCACATAAGAACTTTCTCAAATCTGGATGACATTCAGTTTGAGCTAAACTGATCCATACCTGTGATTGTTCCACAGCTTCTTTAAGATCTTCATGTTGTAGATAATTCGGTAATATCATGCCATCATACCCAATATTTTGACACAGTGACATATTCTTAGGAATTGGATAACATCTTTGACTACCATAGCCATTTAATAAGCGATGCCAGTCGGCATAATAACTTGTTGGATCCAATGTATCGGTAAGTGGTAGATGTCCATCATCCATGTCTAATGAGTTATCATCAAAAAGTAATGAAGTCGATGAATGTGCCGATTGTGATGAAGATGAAGCAGAAGGGGCTAATTCCGATGGTGATAATAACGAATATGGAGATAAGGATGATGATGATGATGATGACGGTGACACAGATGTATCGTGATCATTGAATAACAAATCGTTATTAAAATAATTTTTTTCGTATAATCGTTATGATTTTCAGCGTATTTTGAATTCCATGGACTTAAAAATGTTTGTTTTGATACACCAGATAATCCTGCTCTTCCAAATGTATGCAATGGATATGAGTAAAGTGTACTATTCACATAGTAACACTGGAAAATACTTGACCAAGTCAAAATCAACATATGTATTAGACATGTAAAACCTTTCATATTATATCGTCTGTTCAATTTTCAATTAATAATTTCACTTTAAGTCCAAATGAAAATATCCCTAACTAACTTCCCACAATAAATATAGGAAGAAATTCATTACTTTCATTGAAAAAAAAATGCTAATTATGTAGAACGAAAAAAATTTTTTTTTTACGTATCGGAGTGAATGTTTATTTAGTGATACTTGAAGATTATAATTTTATATTTTTCCCTTAATTTTTTTTTTACTAGTTACTTTCAAATCCACCCTTCATTCTCTAATTCTATTGTATTTTGATGATGTTCTTGGCTGAAATTCTATTTCTAAGAATCATCCAATCCAGTGAAACGAGACACTGACACATACTTACATTTACTTATTCTATATAAATATAGGACATATAAATACAGAAGAAAAGTGTAAATATGACTTGAAAAATGACATAACTATGTGTTATATGAGGTCTCATGGTGATAGAGATGTGAGAGTAGAAGAGTGAAAGAAATTATTTACTTCAATATTAAGAAAAAAAAGGTTAACTGAACATAATTTTACTATTATCCCTTCATCAGATATGTATGTGTACAGAAGCACATTATTTTTCATATAACCGCCTTGTAACATTTTATATGACTACAAAATTCTTCATTCCTTTTTAATTTTGCTTTTTTTTCTCTCCTTCAACTACTTGATGATTAACCGCCAACTATTGTTCAACCAACTTGTTAAATTGAATTTTATTGTAGGAATGAAGACAAGAAAGGTAACACTCTATAACTTGGCAATTGTTCAGAAATTTTTTTAAAAAACATGTTTTCAACAAGGTAAAATCACCACAGGATACATCAAGAACAAAGATAACAGACACAGTCTTTGTCGTCTTCACTACCACTATCTTCCTTCATCAATATTATTGGCATCAAAGACATTACATTATTATTATTATTATTATTACCATTGTCATCCTATTCTTAATCTCTGTACTACATTTTGTCATTCACCTCACCCTGATTTCATCTTTAACACACGAAAGTGATGCATAGGGAGGGGGATCACCTCCAAAGCACGTAAATGTAAGAAAATCTAACGTGAATAGACAAAATCCTTGTTTTAAGTAAGTCAAAAGTAGACAGGCTAATAAATACAGGCACCAATAACAATAATAATCATAATAACCATAATGATTAATTTTCTAACACTTAGTCATAAATTATTTCCGACTTGACTAAAATTGTGCACTGTTTACTTGTTGACTATTCGGTGTTTCGTCGTTTATTTTTTTCTCTAGAAAAATGAATCGAACTTATTCATATTAATCGGATCTAATTAATGATGAGGCACACACAGACACATTTGAACCAGTCCAATGACCTGTATACTAAATGAACCACACATAATTTATGAAAATAATGATCTAAAAACACGTCTTGGTGGTATACGTGACTGAAGTTGGCGAAAAATAAAACTTCAAAAGTTATGAATGAAATAAATTTATCTGAGATTTAAAATTAGCTTTGAAGATAACGGTGCGTAAGTAAATTCGAGATTTTCTGGTTGTAGTGTTTGTGTAACTGAGTTACTTTATAGCAATCAATTTAGTTTTTGATGTCCAATACTTGATAATGTACACTGAAAGATATACTAGGCATCATAAGTGACCTTACGATTAACATGATACATGATTTAATTCGGTTACGGATGTAACAGGTGCAAAAAAGTATCACTCGTTGGTTATTTAAAACTGGTCTTAGCAATCCAATGACTAAACACGTAGAAGAATGGTATCAACGATGATAGCCTTCAGTCGATATATTTCGTACAATAAGGTGCTACTACTGTCTTGCGGTAAATTATATTTCAGGTTGGAATTCATCATGGACTGACTTCAACTGAAGGAACATTGGAAACCTAGGAGCACTGGATAGCTGTTCCGTCCGAGTATGGGACTCCTCAGCAGTGCGCACCCCAAACCCCACCAGGGGTCAAGCCTAGGACCTACAGGCTCCGTGTCCAGCATGTTACTATTGAGTCACTGGGTCGGAATCCAATAGTCAATATTTCCTACTTCTGTCAGTTCATGACACAGTGCGACCTAAACCCAAGATTGTCATCGGGTAAATGTCCACATATTCGACTTGGTTGACTCCACTGGTCACGACTTGTCATTGGAACTTCGGGAATGACCTCTCGAAACTAATCAAAAAGTAGGAAATATGGACCACTGGACTCCAACCAAGTGACTCAATGGTAACATGCTGGTCACGGAACGTGAAGGTCCAGGGTTTGATCCCTGGTGTGGTCGTCGGGGCACAGTTATGAGGAGTGTTAGACTAAAACGAAGTAGCTGTCTAATGCTGCTACGCTCTCAAATTTCCTCCAACTGACGTCAGTCCACGATGAATTTCAAACTTAGAGCGAGTCATGTTTGTTCGGTTGAATCATTTGTTAGTAAAATATTAAGCGTTGTGTAAACTAACTGTTATTTGGTTTTAAATACCTATCAAGATCCTAAATATTTTCATCTTACGTAACTGATCTTTTTGCAGTTAACTTTCCACCTCAACTTTATCGACTTTGAAAAGGCCTTCGACAGCGTCAACCGAAAATTATTTTGGCAACTGCTCCAACACTACGGAGCACCACAAATCTTTATCAGACTCATTCAACAGCAGCTATATGAAAAAGCCACATACGAAGAGATCCACAATGGAAAGCTCAGTAATGCCTTTGAAGACAAAACAGGAGTAAGACAAGACAAGGCTACCGCCTACTATCACCCATCATCTTCCTCATTGTGGCCGACTCCATCATCAAGCAAACAGTGAGGAGCGAGAAGATAGACATACACTGGCTGGACAGATGAAAACACTCCAAAAAGAAGATTTCGATCTCGCCAGTGACGATTTATGTCTAATGTCTTCCGGCACAAACTCGAAGATCTACAGGCAAAAACCAACAAGTTGACAAAAGAGGCCAGGCCAGGTGAGGCAGCAAACATGGCACTTCCCTCAAGTCAACGTAGAGAAGATAGAGGTGATGAAGATATCCAACTAACAACAACATCAACAACAAGAGACACAAGTCACCATCAATAGGAGAAACCTAAAGGAAGTAGTCTCTCCCACCTACCTAGACAGGGCAGCATCGTTTCAACTACAGGCGGCACAGATGACGACGTCAAAGCCAACATCGGAAAAGCGAGACAGATCTTCATTATCCTGAATCCAGTCTGCAGATCTACTGCACTGTACTCAGCATAAAGCGTTAACAACATCTGGATTTTCAACACCAGTGTCAGTCAAGTCAGTGCTTCCATGTAATGGTTGAGAGACTTGGCGCATTACGAAAGGCATTCCCAACAAATCACAGACATTCATCAACAGCTGCCACCTACGGCTCACTCGATACTGAAGATCAGATGGCCAGAATAATAAGAATAAGCAGCAAGAAACGCATTTTGGCAACGAACCAACGAAGCAAGACCCCATCGCCCAACAAATATGCAGAATCAGAAAGTGGAGATGGATTGGACATACACTGAGAAGACCAACTGGAGACATCACGCAACACGCCAACCCTCGAGTGGAATCCAAAAGCATCTGAGCCAAGGGTGACATGGAGGAGATGATGTGAGAAAGAAATGAAAGCTTATGGGGAGTTGTTGTACCAGGTCGAAAAGACTAGAGAGAACAGAGTGAAGTGGAGATGTGTTACTGAATCCCTATGTTCTATCAGAAACCCAAGGGAAAAATAATATAATAATAATAAATCATTTGAAGGGTAGTCTCATTCGAGTGAAAGATGAACAGGCTTATAATCAGTGTAACAATCGTCTCATAGTGAAGATAAACAGCTTTTAAATAGAAATGTATTCAATTCATCAAATCTATAATATCTTGGTCATGTACTAAAATGTTGAGTTATCCGTTTGCTAACAGTTCAAATAAATGGTGAAAGTGTCAAAAATCTAAATGAGGTAGAAAAATACACTTCTCATGTTCTTCGACTCCATGGAAATCGCTTCTTCTTCAGAGAATAAAAAAATATATGAATAATGTATACCAAAAAGTATGCAGCTCAGATCTATGCCAATTGCACTACAGCATTGATTTAAATGACTTAATCTTAGGAAAGTAAGTAAAATAAATAAACTTTTTTTAAGCTGACACCTATATTTGAATGAATGTATACAACTGTAAAATAAATGCTTAGCGATTAAAAATTTCTTCTACCGACTTCTTGCTAACATAAAGCACATCTTGATACACTTATTTTCAGTGGTTAATATGAACATAGTAAGAATAATAAGACCAATTGATGTTTCTACTTTGTTCAAACTGAATCTAGCTGACTAACTCCCTTTATACAATAATAATCGTTATATTAAAAAAAGCTGTAAAACTGAATACCAAGAGTTTGTATAAATTATACTGCTAAGATGATTTTATTTCACAAGGTGGTCAAATAGAGCAAGCGTAAGATTTACTTAGAAAACAGTCGGTATTAGGAATTTACGATGTCAAGCATTAAAAAAAAGGCAATTTTAAGATATTTTTGAACTCAACACAAATAGTATAGATTAATAAATGTCAAGAAAGAAACAATGAACATAATTTTCCCACTATATAATCGAAGCTTCACTTTTCAAAATAGAAGAATTAATGCTTAGTTTCTGTTGTAATTTGCTTAAAATATCTCACATATGAAGTAAAGCCATATCAAGAGAATCAGAAATTCCTATAACATTTGAATAATTTTGTATGTTCTACTATCTTTATACGCTGCTCTATAACAGAAAATTCTGGTTTACATCACGAAATAAATAGCATTTACATCAAACACTGTGTATCCCCTTGACTGTGGGGGCTTGGATACTGAACGGTTGTCTTAACGTGTATGGTAATCTGACTATTATTATTATTTTTCCCTTGGGTTTCTCATAGAACATAGGGATTCAGTAGCACGTCTCCACTTCACTCTGTTCTCTTCAGTCTTTTCGACCTGGTACAACAACTCC